ACTCAAGACAGCCATAACATTATGTTTCTTTACAAGTGTATGTAAACTTTTGACCACAACTGTATATATATATATCACAAGGTTATTCCATAACTCCTAACCTACTTATGAAAACATCATAACAAATCCCCTGAAATTCTGTTTCGGGTTTTGATTTTGGTGCCACCTTATGATTTTTTGTGACCTTAATGAAGTTTTCATTAAGTGCTTAATGAACCTATTTTTGATCATGTATTTAAACCCTCCAAGTATTCCAATCTGTTGTTATTCTAACGGCTTTGTATCGAGAATAATTGGCAGCAAATTAATTCAGGCAAGATTTAAATTCAAGAAAGAAGTGAAATTATCCATGTAAAGTTCCTGCATATTGCATTCAAGGAAATCCATGGACAGAAATGCGATGTGGTGTATGTGTGCATGTTTATTTTTTTTGGAAGAAAATTTTCATTTGAAGGAAATCTTTATATTTTATAGGGCTGCGCGGTATATGCGATAGATTGTACAAATGGTATGAAGTTGGCCTACGGTAGAAATTTACCCTCTACCGTCCTGTCGTCGTTACGTCATCGCACCTGTGTAAACAGGGCTGTGAGTGCAGAGACAACTGAGCAGGAGTTCGAAATATAATGAAGAAATTCTAGCATATAAAAACACTTATAGAGAGAATAAATCCTCAAAATGTCCCCCTCCCCTGTAGAAAAGTTATTTCTTGCCGTTGTGTCGCAGGATCACTTCCTCCCTCCCTCCCGCTGCACGTCGAGCAGAACGAAGCTTAAACAACCGTAGTTTTTTCACACCCAAGTTGTCGGAGAAAAAAAAAAGTATTGTTACCCACAGAGATGATAAAAAAAGACGTAGACGTTCGTTCAGTTATAAATCCATCTTGCTAATGTAACAGTCGGATTCTTCTGGTCAGTTGTATGTATGGCATGGCAGTCAGATGTTACATTTATTTGGCTTCACCACACTTATATTCCAGATATCTGAAATTGTTTTATGATTAGGATTATGTGTTTAATTAATCCCCTTAAGGTCCTGTCACACTATAACATTTTAGACAACTTATGACAACTTAAATTTTTTTAATGTCTAAATGGCTAATTTTACTTGAAGTTCTGGTTGTAACATCCACTTTATTTTGATATTGTTGAAAATTTATTTTTGTTTGTTGTTGAAACCATTTTTCAATATATAAAAAAACATTTTGTACTTCTGTTATGTTCATTTGCACCACAACAACAATACTGGGTTTGATTATGATAACAGTTTTCTGCAAAATAAATGCTCTTAAAAATTACATTATCTTTGCTTTTATGATAATTTCCTACCACAATATATACTGTTACCGTGAAAGGATTCAATTTATACCATGATATGAATTTGAGGTCATACCGCCCAGCCCTAATATTTTACTTATTTGCTTTTATGTAAATACCAAATGCTATATTTTTAGAAACCTCTGTGTTTCTGTTGTGGCTGAACTGACAAACTAGACATGGAGTCCAGATCATGTCTTTCCCATACAGGACTTTCATCATTTCTCACAATCATTTTATGTTTTATTGCACAAGATAAGGTGCTTACAATTGACTGCAATGTGCAACTTTGCCACTAGGTGTYGCCAAATCACACACACTGGTGCATGTACTGTACAGTATATTCAGCAGCTTTTGGTTCTGTAGTTTAATTTTTTTTTGCAATTTTGTTATATTATTTGTACAGTAACAATAAATACATTTTAGCTTATTTTATCTTGACTTAAAGTAAGTGGACGTTTGTTTTACAACCCATATTTTTCACCTTATTCCATTTCAGGTGTGTTGACCTTTAACCTTCTGGGCATCCCGTTGGTGGGAGCCGACATCTGTGGCTTCAGTGAGGAACCACTYGAGGAACTGTGCATCCGCTGGACTCAGCTGGGAGCTTTCTATCCTTTCGCGCGAAACCACAATTCTATTGGCATGCAGGTAAACGCTGTGCATCCATCTCAAATAACAAAACACAGGTGTGGGCCACAAATGTGTTTAATGAAGGCATCAGCTAATTGAGCAATAATTTAACTGGACATTTTAATTGTGAGAAGAATAATAACAATAGTGATCTGTTTGTACAGGAGATGCTTTTAGAGAGTTTTTTTCCCCCTCATTTAACGCTCCTGTAATCATGATTTCTGACTCCTCCTGACCTGGAGCTGTTTTGCGATCAAGCGCATTGAAGATGTTTTGTTTTATTCTTTTTCTGTTTCCTAAATAAATGCCCTTGCAGCCTCAGGATCCGACAGTTTTCAGCCCGTTCGCTCGTACGGCCATGAAGCAGGCTCTGCTGCTGCGTTACTCCCTCTTCCCCTTCCTCTACACACTCTTTCATCACGCACACGTACACGGACACACTGTTGCACGACCAATAATGTTTGAGTGAGTAGGAAGTTTTTCTCCTTTTATTTTGTGTGCTTGTTTATACCCATTTTAACCCTTCACATGCGTCTTGCCAGGTTTCCAAAAGATGTAAAAACCTACGGGATTGACAAGCAGTTCCTTTGGGGAAAGAGTTTATTAGTGACACCAGTGCTGGATCCCGGAGTCAACTATGTGGACGGTTACTTCCCAGAGGGTCTGTGGTACGACTACTTCACGGTAGGATTTGATATAAACGAAACAATAAAAGGTAATCGATGGTTTTAAAGGACTATTTCCACTTTCACGTATTTGTTTTCACCTCAGGGCAACGCTGTGCGCAGCAAAGGAGAAGAGCTTCGACTCGATGCACCGTTAGATAAGATCAACGTTCATTTGCGTGAAGGTTCAGTTGTACCAACGCAGGTAAATAAGATCAGTTTTCTCCCCCATAAAATGATACGATCGTATCTGACATCTAGTATATGATATTCAGTGTTGTATAAAGTACCACAAAGTGATACTTGAGTAAAAGTACAAGTATCTTACCAAAAAACAACTTTGGTAAAAGTTAAAGTCTCCTTTGGGAATATTACTTGCGTAAAAGTCTTAAAGTATCTGATATTTTTTGTAC